GTATTTGTGTCTGTCAGACTTTCTCTCCCCTGTCCTCTGGAGTATCGCCATCACAGCTTCATCTCTGTTGGGGGTTAGGGGAATGGCAGGTGGTTTGATTTGGTTCCTAGTCTTGGGCAGTCACCACAGGGTGACAAGTCATCAAAAGGCCTGCTTCCCCTCACTTCTAAGTAGGCTGAATGTGCTAGTGCAGGCTCCGAAACTCTGGATTTTCTGGAAGTTGCAGAGCAGCCTGTTCTGTCTGCAGGCTGAGCTGGGTTCTAGCCCTTTGGCCCAACTACAGCCCTACCCACTCTGGGTCCACCCCACTCTCAGGATCCTGGTAGGCAGTATATGGGTGGGCAGAGACACCATAGCAGCTGCTGATGCCTCTTCTTTCCTCTTTGAAGGATCTGTTGCTGCAGCCTATGAGGGCTACTTCATCTATTAAACCCAATACACTTGTCGCAGCTGCTAAGCCCCCGTAAGCCGCCGGGCGCCGTGTTTGTGATGGGACTGACAGTGCATGGAGGAGGCTGATTATACACGATTCCATTTCGCGGGCCCAGCAATGTAATTTCACAGGGCGATCAGCGTTTGCATGTAATAGCAGGCTGTGCTGAGGTGTCAGAATATTAAAGGCGCTAATGGCAAAGCTCCCTGTTACACAGGGGGCCACCCGCCGCGCCTATAGCAGGGCTATGCGGCAGGCCCGTCGCAGATGGCTGGCCACTAAGCTAATGGGGCAGCAGCCAAGGCGGGCAGAGCCACAAGAGAGGAGAGCCAGCCGGGAGCAGCTCGGCACCTGCTTCCCTGCGCATGGAAATTGCAGCAGCCCATGGGAAGGGAAGCGTGTGTGCCTGCCTGGCACAGGGCTGGGGTGGGTTGGTAGGCCCAGCATCTTTCACCCCAGCCTGCTCCACCTGTCCCTGTGGCTCAGCATCAGTACCTGCCCTGCTCAGGACTCAGGAGCTCCTCAGTCATCTTCCTACTTGCCCCACCCTCTGGCCAGGAACCCCAGGGGTTAGGTGCTGACTATGCGTAGCTGGGCAGGTGGACCCTGATGGCTGACAGAGGTGCAGCCAAAAAGTGGCACTCAGAGGATTTGGAAGCAGCCTTGGGAAACAGGCTCGGGCACAAGCTCCTGAAGAGAGCTCTTAAAGCAAATTCCTGCCCCACATTGATCAAGGTCAGAAAGCTTCTGGGCCCCAAACCCCACTCCTCCAAGCTGGCAGGAGAGGGAAGGGAGCAGTGAGAGGGAGCAGGCAGGATTAAAGGGATGGACACAAGGCCCCTTAATGCCATGTTGCTGTCTGGTACACAGAGTTGGGAAGCAGTGCTTTAAGAAGTGGCTCCCCTCTAACTTGGCTGTCCCAGCCACACCCAAGCCTTTATTGTGCTTGCTTCTGCCATTTTCCTTTGTCCTTGCTGTGCCTTCTGTCTGGAATGTTGTACTCCCCTGTCATCTGTCAAACCCTCCCAACCTGCCACTACCACTCCCTCCAGGAAGCTTTCCTAGCCTCCTCCAATCTCACCAGGGCCTGCTTGTCTTCATTGTCTCCTGTAGGCAATCCACAGGGCTCAGCTTTGCTGATCTTCCTGTTCTGATGGGTCTCTGAGTACCAGCCTTGGCTCCTCAGCCAGAATCTCTGAGACATAGCCCATAACACGTCACCTTGAGCAGGACTCCCAGGAAGGTCTCTGCTGAGATTTGTAGACAGATACAATCTCTTAAGGAGGGCAAATGGAGGGAGCAAGTAATGGAAGGGTGGCAGAGGCACCTGAGGGTGAGTCCAATGCCTGTGTGGTATGCCAGCATATAAGCAGTTGGGCCACTCCATAGCCTGCATATCTGGTAGGGAGAGGAATGGGCTTTAGAAGTGAGTGGTGGGCACGGATTAGTACAGGTACAGAGGGGCAGCAGGTGTGAGGATCCAGACCATACGTTGGCAGGAGCACAGGTTGCTGTGGGACCTCCTGTGTTCTGTGGCCGGCTATCTGCATCTGTTGGCTGTGCCTGAGCAGTATAAGATGGCAGGAGCTGGGGGAGCATGTCGTGCTGGGTGGGCCCTGGTACTGTGCCTAGAGTGGTCCCATGAGGCTGATGGTCACATCTGAAGGTTAGACTCCGCAGGGGCATTTGTCAGTACCTGGGGAAGACGTTCCAGGGTTCTCAGCAGAACCAACAGCAGGAGAGCCCAGGCTGAAGAAGAGCAGTTTTAATTAACCGTTTTTAATATAATTTTTGGACCTTGGCTGGTATGCGAAGGCCCCACTGGAAGCAGCATTTGTAAAAATTAAATCCCTCTTATTAGGAGCTTGGCAGATCCATGTGCATGCGCCGCCCCCACCCCTCCCTATGCCCCCCTGAGGAAGTGCTGGATGAGGCCATGTCACGGCAGCAATTGGTTATCACGCCTTATCTGGGAATATTAAACTGTGCAGCATGAAACCCGCGGCCGCAGTAGAGATGACAATTCATCTCGACCTCGCTCTGACAAGCTAGACTGCCCTTCCTGAAAGGTATCTGTCAGGCAGAACCGGGTTGCCGCCTTGCCTGGCACTTCCGCTTTCCTGCCAGGGGCCCAGCTTTCCCTGGCCCAGCCAGGCCCTCCTGGGCTCTTCTGTCCTTCGGTCCCCCTTCCGCACATCCCAGTCTGTGGAAGATCTTGGGGAGTCATAATTATAATAATAATCTAATCATGATGACGCGGCAGGGCAAGCATCTAATGTTATCTGAAGTGGTCTTCCCACTTAGCTGCGATAAGACTCAGGATGACGTGCAGATAACGTTGAGCTGCCCTGTCCCTGAGCCACGAGCAGAGCGGAGGGGCCTCCTCAGCCTCCGCAGCCCTGCCGCCCGCCCGCCACTTTAAGCCGGGAAGCGGCAGCACCTGCTAATGCAAGTGTTTAATATTTGATGGGCTGGGATAAAGCAGGATCACCTTCGAATTGAATTGAGTGTCAGCCGAGAATCTATTACTGAAATTCGGGTGTGATTTGACAGCAAAGTAGACGATGTTATTCTTCACTAGTTACTGCAATCTTCTCCCCGACATCACTTAAATATTTTTTTCTTTGCTTGAGTAAACACACATTATCCTTCTTTTTTCCCTCTTCCTTCCCTTTTTCCTTTTTAGAGGGGGGAAAAAAAAAACCCATCCAGCTCGCCTTCTCCAGGCCGATAGAGTAGATTGTTATTTCTTTATTTGTCCTATTAAATGGAATTTCTGATCGTTTAATCCGGCCTTTGTAAGTGATTTTAAAGTACTTGAAAGGCGGCCGCCACTGCTCTCTGGCCCACTGCGCTCCAGCCTCAGCCCTGACCAGGCTCAGCGGTTCCTCCAGCTGTGCACCGCCCACTGGCTGCTTCCCTCACTGCCTCCGTCCTAGCTCTGCCCTGGCCCTGAGCCAGCGTCTTCTTCCCTGTCCTTGAGCCTCACACTCAGCTCCTGATTTGTGGGTTCAGCTGTGGCCTGGGAAAGGGTAGGGGGAGGCTGGCTGGGAAGTTGAGCTGTGGCTGGTACCTCTGCAGTCAAGGAGAATGGCTTTAGAGGGTGCTAAGGTTTAAGTACACTCTCCTAGCTTCCTAGTACCTAGTACAGGGCTGGTGTGTTGGTTCATATAGCTGGGAAGGCAGGGTGGACACAGAATCCCTGGGCCCTGGCACAGGCTCTGTGTGTAGCCTCCCATCTTGTGTTTCTGACCCTGTGCTGGGCCCTCTCCCCTGTGTGTTAGTGGAATGGAAATCTCCTGGGCCTAGCAAAGGGCTGGACCACTGCAGTGCCCATACACTCACAGCTGTCAGTCACTTTGGTTCCATCACTGGACCGCCCCCCTTGCAACTTCTGGAAAATCACCCAAGCTTCATTCTAACTGACTACTGTCCTTAATGCTGTCCTGCTACCAGTAGAAGGACAGCCTGGTGTCTGGGGACTTCCAACATGAGGGGATGGGTAATGTTTGAAGGCCTAACTAGCTACCAGGCCTACCAGGAGAAGCCCAGAATTTGGTTAACAGGCTGAGCAGGAATTAAATCCTATTCGGCTACTTCATCGTGATAAGTCTTCTTTCTGGCCCTCAGTTTCCTCGTCTGTGGTGTCAGGTCAGTCATGGCTAAAAGGGACTGTAAGGGAAGGTGCTGCCCCTGCCCCGCTATGTGTTCCCACCAGGTGGAGGTTGCTGGCAGCCAGGTGGCGAGTGAAGGAGATGGAGGGGGGGCAATGGAGTGCTGGGGCCTGAGCAGATCGATGCCCCCAGCACTTCCTTCCCCAACCCCAGGAAAACAATTAAGTACAGATCGATGGGTGGCCGCTTTGAATATGCATAAGTGAGCACTTGACCTTCAGCAGAGCATCTGCTCCCCCTGACTGACACACACACACACACACACACACACACACACACGTGCACCCATGTATTCCCCCTCTCAGCTGCTTCAGTTGACCATGTGACCTTACTCCGTTCCTCAGTTGAGCCCCCACAAAGCTTCCAGAGCCTTCCATAGCCTGGTCTGCTTGTGGTTATGGCATCTTGCTGGCCAGTTCTTGCTTCAACATTTCTGTCTGGAGTACAGTTGGGATGTGCTGGTCTCCAAGGCTCTGCCTGAGGGCAGTCTTTGTGAACAGTAATACTGTGAGGAGGGGGCCCAGCAAAGTGCTGGGGGCTCTGGAAAAGGAGGATCCTAAGGAGGGGTGCATGGTGCAGGGGTGCCCGGGTGAGAGGAGGAGCAGGAGGAGCCTAGTGAACAGGAACTCCTTAGAGAGGAGTCTTGGTGAGGGGCACCCGGTGTGGGCCAGGGACTCAGATGGGGAGAAGCCCAGGAGAAAGGGGACTCTAGAGAAGGAAGGGACTTTCTGCTTGGTTGGGGGAGGACCTGGGTGGAGAGGGGACTCTCACGAGATGGCATTATGAGAGGGATTTCTTGTTGGAAAGATTTGGGAGGTGGGGGGAAGACCTTGTGAGTGGGGTTGGTTCAGGGGGTCAGGGCCTCCGTTAACCACTTGCCTCCTGTTTTCCAGGCTTACAGCTTCGCCATGGGCTGCTGGCCCAAGAATGGACTTCTAGACATGAACAAGGGCCTCAGCCTGCAACACATAGGCCGGCCCCACAGCGGCATTGGTCAGTCCCTTCGCATATTCCCCGGCAGCTCCATCCATTGTCCCTGCCTGCATGCCCCAGTCCCCAGGCACACAGAGGGTTTTCGTGGCTCATTCAGTGCCCCAACAGGGCTTTCTACATAGTTGGGGGATGGCAAAAAGAGGGTGGAATGAGAAAATTACCGAATGGGATCACTGGAAAGACCACTCAAAATGGTATTTCGGAGGAGGCTGGGGTCTGGGCTTTGAGTGAGTCACAGGTGGTCTTGGACTCAGGCCAGGGTCCCCCCTCACTGGCTGCATATCTGGTGAGCAGTGTCCTCAGGGGGTGGGGACATGTCAGCTTACCCACCCCCCATGGAGCTGGAGGAGGCTGTTTAATATTGTTTCAAGTCTGTGGCCACTAAACTGGACGATCAATGGGAGTTAAGGAGATGAATTATTTAAACCTCACCAGCTTTTAATTAGTCGGGGTCCTTCTGACCGATGACTCCGTCCACAGGGTATTGACTCCCCCGCAGGAGCAGCAGCCTCCATTGAGCGGTGCCTGGGTTGAGGGGGACCACTTGGGGTACTAAATGGGGGTACACCCTCAGGTGGATTCATGTTTGAAGGAAACTGGAGTGGCTATGATTCCAGGCAGTTGGAGGCTCTGTTAGTTTCTGATCTATCAGTATGAATATATATCTGTCTGTGAGTATCTGTGTGTCTGCATATGTGTGACACCTTTAGCTGTATGTCTCTGTGTCGTACTGAGAGTATAATGTATCCATGATTATACATGTCTGTTGGGGGTGTGTAACAGTATATCGGTATTTTTCTGAGGGCATGAGTCTGTGTGGAAGCAGCCACAGCCTGTGTACATATCTGTCAGGTGTGTCTGTTCAGTTCTGTATATCTTATTTTGTTTGCATATGCTCATGTGTGCATGCAGATGCTCTCAAGTAGGGCACTTGACCAGGCGTAGGCCTTGTTCCAAGTGGGCAGGAGCCAGAGTGTCTCTGGGCGGTGCTCTGACATTACCACAACTTGTGAACCTTTGGGGACGCATCGTCGTGGGGAGGGACTAGAGAGATACACCAGGACCAAAGGACCCCGTCACCTCCTTCAGAGTAGCCCCTTTATCCATTCCAGACATTCACTGGTGCCTTGTGGATGCTGGGCACGCTGAGTAGAAGTTTCTGTTCTCAGTGAGCTCACATCCTGGGAAGAGACAGGGACTGAAATAGGTGCTTGCCACCCAGGGTACTAAGGGCTGTGATAGAAAACACCTGGGTTGCCCCAAAGGTGGTTTTCCCTCTCCTCAGTTGCCAAGTAGCTTCTACTTCTTCAGTTACCTCTCACTAAGAAGTAGTGATATGGGGACATCTCAGTCCAAGAGGGATGCCACCATACTCTTGTTGGGACATCTCAACAGTGTCTCGGGTCCAGGGAAAAGAGGAAGTGACCACTGGGGAACTGGGGGTACTCCACCATAACTGCTGTTTCCTCTCGTAGATGCTTTCCAAACAATCTAGAGAGATGCCAGACCCAGCAGGGTCAGCAGGAAGTTTCCTAGAGAAGAGGACACTTGAATTGGGATTTTTGAAAGATGAATGGGAGTTTGCTAGGCAGAAAAATGGGGGAAGGATATTTTAGATTAGAGGACTAAGTAGAAAGGCCTGTGGGCATGAGAAAACCCAGTGTGCTGAGGACAAGTTCAGACACCTACAAGAAGCTTCCCGTCACTGGAGTGGAAAATTTGGATTAGGAAACAGCTAGAAAATAAACAGAGACATAAGCAGGGCCTTGAATGCCTGGTTAAAGGATGTGAACTTTTCCTGCAGTTTTGAGGAGACGTAGGAGGTTTATGAGTGAGAGAATGATGTGGCCAAAGCTCTGATTCAGAGTCAATGAGGCAGTTTGTATTGCACAAACCCAGTTCTTAGTAGGTGCTCAATAAATGCATCTGGGTGGTTGAATGAACAAGTAGGTGAGTAAATGAATCAATGAAAGAGTGATGGGAAAGAGAGGAACCAAAGAGGACCAGTGAGAAGACTTGTATTGGTCCAGGGAAGGAGGAACTGGCTGGGGGCTAGGGACAGCAGGACTGGGTTAATGCACTCTACATGTACTTGATCTGGGTGCCCCTTCTATCATCTGTCCCAGGATGTGTTTGTGAGCAGAAGGGGTTCCTTGTTCCCGCTCTTTGTGCTTCTTGAGACTCAGCAATGACCCTGTTGTCCATTCACCTGTTGACCCTAGGTTAGGACCTCTGAGGTATCACTTCTTTTTTCAGAGAAGAATATTTATCTGGGTGGGCCCCATGGGGCAGCCCAAGGCTCTGAGTGACAATGGAGCAAGGGTTTTGAAGCCAGAAGTAATTCTGGTTCTTCTACCCAGAACCCTGCAACCTTGGGTAAAGGACAGTGCCACCTGCCTCTCTGGGCTGTTGGGAAGGCTCAGTGAGTCCCCTGTGGAAAATGTTCATGCAGTGCTGGGCACACCATGGGGCTGAAGGGGCTCCCGCCTCCACAACCAGCACCAGGGGCTCACCAGGGCACTGGGCTTCTTGACACTTGGTCTTTGTAGTCTTTGAATGAAGAGGGCTGCCCTGCCATCTCCAGGCTGGCTCTGAGGTGTGGGTGAGGGTGCTTGGAAGGGAGGGAGGATGCAGGGCATTAATTGGGCTGGGAGAGGCGGGGAGGGGAGGAGTGGGTTTTGAGCAGTGAGGTTAATGGCCCTCGCACCAAAGAGACAGCTTTAATGAGCTTCAGCTGGCGGTGCCCCGAGTTACTGTGCGTGCTAAAAGGGTCACGCTGTAAGAGTTTGATGTGGACTGCTTCCCAGCCCTGGGGGTCAGAGGTCAGCTCCTGTCACTGGCCACTCAGGCTGGTCCTTAGTGACATGGTGCTAATTAACTGTGTGAGGAGCTGCCAGCCTGGAGTGGGGAGTGGTATCTGTATTGGTTGGGGGGGTGAGGCAGCATTGGGTGCTGCCAGGCAAGGGGGTGCTGCAGATCCCATAGCTGACCATGTCCAGGGCCTGCTCAGTTCTCCTGCAGTGCCATAGGGATGTGGCATGGGTGGTGTGGAGGTGCTGAGAGAGCACGGAGGCAGGCTTGGGGTGACAGGGTTGTGCATGGGAAAGCTGTAGGAGTGTTTTGGACAGGTGAGTTATGTGGTCAGTGTTGGCTTCAGTCAGAGGAGGCTCATAGTTTGTAGAGGAAGGACTTGTGAGGAGAGACTACAGACAGGGAGGCTGTAGGGGAGGGGCAGTAAGGTAAGCAAGAGGGCGTCGGCTGTGGAAATAGAGGCAGGGCACTGGGTAAAACTTCCTTTCATTCAGTGCACACTACCTTGGACCTACCATATTATCAGGAACCATGGTAGGTGCTAGAAATGTATTGGTAACAATGGCAGGCAGGGTGCTCTGCCCCCACACAGTTCACGGGTGGAGTTGTGGGGTTGGCCCTGGGGACTGAGGGTGAAGTTGGGTTTAGGGATGGCCAGAGAGGGTCCGGAGGTGGTGGAGCGCTGGCAGAAAGGCTGCTGGAGGCTTGTCAGCGTGACATCATAGTCAGGGGAGGCCTTGGGAGCCTGGTGAACAGCATGGTGCCAGAGCAGGTTGTGGCGAATACGGCCTGCATGGTCTCCGGCAGCATCCTTGGTTTGGACCACAGGCTCTGAGGCAGGGCAGCCTCCACAGGGGACTGCTGAATGGTCCTTCCTTCATTTCAGCAAAGGGCAGCAAACACTCACATTATTTGGGGACACTTTATATTAACTAATTCAGTTTTCACAACGGTCTTATGAAGGCAGGCATCATCATTCCCATTTGATAGATGAAGAAACAGGCTCAGTTAAGTGATGTGCCTAAGGTCATACAGACAGTTAAGTTGAGGAGCCAGGATTGAAACCCAAGCCCATCTGAATACAGAACCTGCAGTGGTTTTTGGTTTTTGGTTTTTTTTGAAATGGAGTCTCACTCTGTCACCCAGGCTGGAGTGCAGTGGTGTGAATTCGAGAGCTTGTGTTCTTATCACTGCTGAACTATGAAGCACTCTTTTGGTATTGGGCTTTGCACTACCAACAGAGACGATGTGGAAGAAAACAAGCTCGCTTTCCTCATTTCCCTCAGCGTCATGTGAAACGTGCAGGCCTTAACAGAGCTTCAGGAGCAGCAGCTGAGGAAGAAAGCAAAGGCAGCATCACCACTCCCTGTCTGCTGCTACTGTTGGCATCTGACCTCCTTCTGGCCCTGACAGTTCTTTGTGATTTCAGTTCTCTCTCCACCTCATGGCCCAGGAAAATTCTGCTAATCTTCCAGGGGCCACCTCCTCTGGGAATCTTGCCTGGCCCTCCCAGTATGAGCGTTCATAATACACACTTGGGCCCTGTTATAATTTGTCAGAGGTAATGATCTGGCCCTGCGTACTTGGGTTCTCTAAGGGCAGGGCCTGGGCCGCCTCCTTTCGTTTTGGAATCTGCACAGGAAATGTCAGTAAAATCTCACCTGCTGTTGTAAGTTGGAGGCCCCACAGATTACTGCTGGTTTCAGCTGGCTAGGAGAGTACCTGGAACCTTCTCTGGGTGGTCCTGCCCTAGGAACTTGGCCACTCTGCTCTGGGATGGAGGAAGATCCCACTGAGGCTTGTGGTACAGGTGGCATGGCCAGAGACCAAGTGGACTCTCAGATGCTTGCTACCCAAAACTGTTTGGCAAGAGAGCTAGGCCGGCAGGTGGCAGGGTGGTGGCCTGGCCCCCAGGGGGGCAGTGCTGGCCTGTGGTCTCCCCTGAAGGAGTGGGGTGTCTATCAAGAGTCCAGTCAGAACGCATTAGCTCTGTGACACGGATCTCATTAGCGCCCGTGAGAGGTGTCACTGCGGGAGAATCGTCTGCTCAGGGAGACGCTTGTACCAAAAGGAAGAAAGGACAGTGACAGCCTTTTCTCTGCCGCCTCTGCCGCCACGCTCACTGGGCTGCCCGCCCTCCTTCTCGTTGGGGGGGGTGTGGGGGTGCTGGCTAATGAGCTCGTCTGCAG